AAACGGAAGCCTTTAAAGGGAAAGCCTCAGAAGCTACGCTGCCGTCGACTAGGTCTCGACAGGACTATAGAAAAGTAAAAAGCTCACCTTCTCGTAAAGTGACGGGAAAGCATCGTTGCAGTGGTATCGTTCTCGTACCTTAAAAACTTGTTTAGGCATTTTTCTCACGCCCTCTCCCTCTCTCTCTCTCTCTCTCTCTCTCTCTCTCTCTCTCTTCTGCCTTCTCTATCTCACCCTCCCCTCTCTCTCTCTCTCTCTTTTCTTCTTACTACCCTCTCCCCATCTCTCTTTCTCTCGCTCTCCTTCTCTCTCTCGCCCTCTCTCTTTTTCACCGCTCTATCACCTTTTCATACAGCTCCAAATCGAACATTTCCCTGAATTCAGCCTCCGTCATGAAGATGTCGGCATAGAGGAAGGAGTAGCCGCCGACATCGCGAGTGAATCTGAAGCAGACATTTATCAGATTACTACGCAGATCAAGGTTCTTTAAACGAATTCTGACAGCATTGTCAATTGACCGCGTCACCGCGACGCGACCGCTACGTGCGCAGGAACCCGGAAAAAGCTGTAAAACCCACTTCTCCATCTCCCGCATCGCATGCGTCGGGTTGTAGAATTTGTGGTCTTTCACCTGGAATTAAAACTAATTTCGGGATCTCCTTTTCCTATTACCTGCCCCGGGGTACCGTACACGCCCAAGTCGTTGAACATGGCGTAGTTAGTGCCGGGGACGAGGCGGTGCTTTGGAGGGGCTCTAGAAATAGCCGATTCTTAAATTTCTTTTCTTTTTTTACTCAGCTTTCTTTGCAAGTCCCTTTAAATGACATCGCCCTCCTACAATAACCTACCGTAACTGTCCCTGTGCACCCCGTTGGTGATCATACACTCGACATGGGTAGACGAGCAGTGGATACTTCTCGAACAGCTCGACGGCACGCTCGATCTGCTCATCCAGGGTATCGAGAGGCATTACAATGTCTTGGAATACCTATATTAGAGTTAAGTTAGATACAGTCGACACCGTGAAAAGTATAGAACGTACTTGTTTCGCAAAAGTCATCTCGCGGACCGCTTTCGTTGTGGTGAACTTGAGGAAGGCGGGCTTGGGAGGGAGAAGCCAGCCGAAGAGAGCTCTTAAAAATTCCGGTCTTTCTAGGTATTTTATGAATTTTAAAGGGATTGTGAAGGCAAGAGTCCATAGATTAAATCCGGGGCAACTCGCCAAAATTTGGATCTAAAAATTTTCAACTAATTTTATACCTGAAAAGCGGATGATTTCCAAATGGAATCATGTCCTCAACCACCCAGAAAATGGCGCGGTTATGGCGGAGTAAGTAGGACTCGAGTGGAATGTATTCGGAGCCGCCTGAAAATGCTTAGGCTTAGCTTAGGCTTAGCTACTTAGCTTAAGCTTAGCTGAAGCTTAACTTTGAGTTATTCCAGCTTTAGATAGCAGTGCCAAAAACTAACCAGCCTGGAACTTGGTCTCGACATATTTGTAGAACCACGGCTTCCACCATCTACAGACATCGTTGATTTTCCACCACTTCTTGAGCGTGTCGACCTCTGCGAAATTTCCGACCATAACCACGGCCTTATCCTTGTCGTAGACGGTGGCCTCGAGGAAATCGGGGGTCTGGAATAGTCAAATTTCTTCCGGAAACCGGGTAAACTACCTGGAAGTCCTTGTCGATGGCGCCGGAAAGCTTCATCAGCTGTCGGCACAGGGTTTCTTGTTGGCGCATCTAAACTAACCAGATTAAAAAAAATTCCTAATTCGTAGCTTAAGCCAAAATTTTGCAACCTTTAACTGTTTCTGCTTAGTTTATGCCTGGAAATTTTTAGTTTTTGGTTTTTTTAACTAATATCAGATCCCCTAAAAATCTGCTATTTTTAATACCTTACCGGTAAATAAGTCATATGGACATATGGCTTGACGCGGACGAGCTTCAACTTCAACGAGGTCAGAAGGCCAAGCGTCCCGTGGGACCACGGGAGACAATAAAAGAGATCGGAGTGCTCGTTGTCGGCTGGAAATCAAGTTTCGTTCACTCTATCACTCGCTCTCGCTCTCTCTCTCTTGCTCTACCTGTAACTTTGACGACCTTCCCATCCCCGGTGACCACCTCGTACTCGACGATCGTCTCCTGGTAGAGTCCGACCTGGGGTAAGGCATTTAAGGTACCTTCTTTAGTTCTTAATATACCTTATGCGAATGTGTTGTCATTCCCACACCAAAAGCCAGGCCGCCAAGGGTAGCGTCACCAATCTCGAGGGTTACCGCCAGGGTGTAGCCCTAAAAAAGTAGCTTAAAGACAGAGCGATAGAGAGAGAGAGAGAGAGAGAGAGAGAGAAAGAGGGAAGCGAGAAAAATATTCCGCAATTTACCTTCGGTATCAAATACTTGCAAGCCTCTCGAACAGTGACATTAGGCTCGGCAGTAACCGTCAAATTCTGCTCATCAATGCTCAGAATATCGTGCAAATCCACGGGCACTTGATGCATTTTTGTCTAGAAATTGTTCCCTGTTTTTTATGCCATTTATCTAGCTACCTTATCGAAAAAACGTAGTAGACAAGCTCTGCCAATTCGGGCGAGCCGTGCATAGCAATTTTCGATCTTTGGTGGGCTGTGTGCGCCAGGCTGTTACCTAAAAAATAATAAAACTTTTATGGCTAGCTTTTTCTACATGGAATCGGCTGTGTGTTTTGTAATCCGTGGTTTAGCACAAGACTTACCCGATCCTGAATCTCCTGTACCCGCGATTCGTGTGTGGAATGCTTCTGCAAAAACGCTCGGTTCAGCCAGACGCGGAAGCGGACGAAGAGGTCGAAAACCTGAGAGTTTTATGTTGCTCGTTGGCTTGGCTTAGGTTAAGGCTTAGGCTCGGGGCTAACAGTGTTTTTTGGTCATCGGCAACCTACGAGACCTAGCTCATTCGATAGGAATTCGATTCTGACCAAAACGTGTTCCTTTTGCAATGGCAATCCCTGATTTTATAAAATAATCTATCCTCATTACCAGATGCCTTTCGAGCCAAAGAGAGGCTTTGGTGCGTTTTAACATTTATAAAATCAGGGAAGCCATTCCAAAAAGACAACGGGTTTTGTTCAGAATCAACCATCGAACTAGTCTCTAAGGTTTGGCAATTACCAAAAAACCTTGTAAGCTTAGGCTTCAGTTTAGTCTTAAAAAAAGTAGAATTTTTTACCAAGCTGGCCGGCAAAACAAAGATGAGAATCACAAGGCCGCGGTTTTCTTCTAGCCACGGGACAAGCCGAGTTTTTGCGCGATCCCAAAAGGTATCGCCGCTCATCTGAAATTGTTTTATGGACTCTTCAGGGGAAAATCAGTTAGAAACTATAGAAACCATAGTTGAAAGTAATCATAAAGTTTTACGGGGAAATTTTTGGATCCAGCAAGCTTAAAAAATCGACTTTTTGGTGCAAACCAACAAGTACATACAAAGTCTTAAGCCAGCTGCAGGATCGCTAAGGTTTAAAATTACTAAAATAAAGAATAAGACAGATAAATAGTGTTTGCAATAAAATCATAAAACACTCTGCAAACGGTGGGTTGTCGGTGGCAAACAGCAAAAAAATAGCTGTGCCCCTTTCTGGTTGTTCCACTATCTATTCTATGCCCTGTATTCTAGCGGGTTTGATAAGAAACACGGCACAGCAGGGATCGCGCGATCCCATAAATATCGGTCAGAAAATAATGCATAGTTAGCAGGGCGGGCAGAAGGGAATGGAGGGGCAGACTAGCAGAGATTTTTTGAGTAATTTGAAAAGAAAAGGAGGGGCGGGCTAGCAGAGATTATTTGGGAAAATTAAGGCGGGGAAGGGAGGGGTAGGCTAGCAGAGATTGTTTGAGGAACTTGCAGGTGAGGGGCAAACGAGCAGAAATTCTTGGAAGAATTGGAGAGGAAGGGGCCGGCTAGCAGAGATTCTTTGGGAACTTGATCGTGTACGGCAAGCTAGCAGTGATTCTTTGAGGAATTGGAAGGAGAGAGTCAAGCTAGCAGAAATTCTTTGAGGATTCCAAGGTGAGAGGCAAGCTAGAAGAAATTTTTTAGAGAATTTGGGGAAGGGCAGGCTAGCAAATATTCTGTGCAGACTCTTGCATTCCCATCATTTTCTCCCGATTGGCCTATCAGAAAAACTGTTAGCCCAGTTACGGGATAGCGTGACAGTCGATGAGCACTCAATTGTCATCACCCCTCATCAATATCCATGCAACCCCACCGGGGGTATCGATGACCATTCTTGGGGTGGCTGGAGGGCCGTGTTTGGGGCCCATCACGTTGATCCGATGGGTAAACATACTACTGGGGTGGCCATATAATAATAGCAAATATCTCATCCATCTTGCTATCATTAGCTAGGGATACCTCGCTGTCTGCCTATCTCTCCCTCTCTCATCCTCCTCTCTCTTTCTCTCTCTCTCTCTCTCGCTCTGTCTCTCCCTCTCCCTTTCTTTATCTTTCCGTAATTTGGTGCAAAGGTGGATTATGCAAATTAAAATTGATACGCCCTCATTATGGACGTCAATTGGGATCAAGCCAGAAAACGTTACGAGTATCGAATATGGCCAGGTTGCCCGTAAATCTAAAATCGGTATGGAGATTATTCTAAAACTTACCTCCAAAAACGGCAAAAAGCCTACGACACCCGGGATTCCCAAGCCGTCTCCGATCCAAGTACTAACCGAGCCCAACATTGCTTAACTTGGCAGATCGGACGGGATGCCGTGCTTTCAACGTGGTATGGTCGTAGGCGAGGGGTGGGAAGGTAGAGCCGTTGATGAGGGGCAACTCGTAGCCGGCGTAGCCGGCTACGAGTCGTAGCCGGCTTTCAGAACATCTCTCCTCGAGTCTGCCCTCGCCTACGACCATACCACGTTGAAAGCACGGCATCCCGTCCGATCTGCCAAGTTAAGCAACGTTGGGCTCGGTTAGTACTTGGATCGGAGACGGCTTGGGAATCCCGAGTGTCGTAGGCTTTTTGCATGTTTTTTTGTCATTCAGCTTGTGGAACTGACCTAAATTTCTTGTCTATTTTTTTCAACCCAGCTAGACACCCACAAAAGAAGCAGCCCTTCACGTCCATTTGCGCTATGCAAATTAGCAATTCCCGGGGTGGGCGCGTTTGCCAATTCCGGTGGTGGTAGTGGCTTGACCCGAAATGGCGATGATGGCCACCTGTGTGCATGTGGGCCATATTTGTCGTTGGGAGATGGGCCTCTCTCTCGTTCTCTCTCTCTCTCTCTCCCTCTCTCTCTCTCTCTCTCTCTCTCTCTCTCTCTCTCTCTCTCTCCTGGGGTCAACCCATGTCAATTGAGGCCATTTGCCAGCTTCAAGGGGCTCCCCAAAAAAGGGGATTGTTCTGGTATGTCCCGATTGTTCCTCTTGTCCAATTATTTGCCGATGACCTGGAGGTTGGTTGTTTTTGGCGCTCTAATTTGAATTTGGATTCGGGTTCGGGTCAAATAGGAAGGAATATTGTATCCATCCGTTATTTTTGGGAATTGCCAAAATCCCGACAGCCAAAATCCCGATATGCAAAATAGCTGTTTAATAGAAGTGTCGTGATTTTTGCTTCGAAATGTGCTGCCCATATTACGGCTATTTTCGCATTTTGCATATTTCTAGCGCTGAGACGTGCCCGGCCCGGGTCCCGTCGAGAATTTCCTTTAGTCGGAAGGCCTTTTCGGGACACCTGGCCCACCTAGGGGGGCATCTGAAATGTGAATGATGGTGGTGGCCGTCCGGGTCGAGGTACTCGTTAGTTCGTCTCGGTCCCCCTTTGTGCATCACAACCACGACCGTCGTCTTGACACCACAAAAAAGTACTTTCCATTTCTCGAATGTGCAGAGCGTAATTAGCAGAGGTACTTGGACTGATGGCAGCAGCTCTTCAGGGCCTTGGAACAGCTATATTTTTCTGATTATCTATTTTTCAGCACCTTTCAGATTTTTTCAGATTTAAGGGATGCGTAATTTATGACTAGGGTTTCAGAAATTCTAACGGGGTATTTGCAATCACTTGAATTTTAATTTTTTACATGTTTTAGCTAACAAAATTGACCATAAGATGAGCAAGGACAATGGATTGGGGCCCTAGAAGACATTACGACATATAATTCCCGGATACTTTACCCAAAAAATTTTCGAATTCGAATCTCGAATTTTCGAACGCATTGAAACGCATTCTTTTTACTTACAATTTCTTGGTAGTATTCAATTTGGATTTTGGAGGCGGTAGATTATCCTTTTCCTAAACCCGCCTATTTTAGCTTCATAGTCCTTTAAGGCCCGGAATTTCAGCAATTTCTTGTAAACCGCCCGTGTCTTGCCGCGCCCTTTAAATTCGGGTCAGGTCCCACCGATCAAGACCTATATGCTAATCGTTGCCGGGGTGGTTCTTGGTGGAAACGGTGGCTCGTCGTACCACCTTTTTCGGGGTGGTCCAAGTCTCATTGGACACCATTGTCCTTGGGTGTCCATGTCGAGACGGGGGTCCCGCCGCGAAATGGTGCCGAGACATAATTCGCCCCAGAAACGAGCCCACCGACGGGATGGGGACACAGTCATTTTCGAATTCGGCAACCGGAAGTGGGTGGTACGAGCATGGGGGGGGAAGAACGATTTTCCGCTAATTTTTAGGGAATATTTCGGTTTGCTTATAAAAATACGGTTGAATTCCATTGAAAGAGAGCGAGAGAGAAAGAGAGAGAGAGAGAGAGAGAGAGGGGAGAGAGAGACAGGAGAGAGAGCGGGAGAGAGAGAGAGAGAGAGAGAGAGAGAGAGAGAGAGGAAAGAGAGAGAGAGAGAGAGAGAGAGAGAGAGAGAGCGGAGAGAAAAAATAACGCGCGGTTCGATTTTTCTCATATTCTCAGGGCTCCATTTGTAAGTTCGATAAATTCCCAGAGAACCGGTTACCAGGTCAAAAATGCAAGATTTTCCTTTTTCCGGGTCTAACTCTCCTTCAATATGGTTTATTTGAAAGATAGCTAATTTTTTATTTTAAGGTTCAAACTACTTTCCAATCCCTTTAATTACCCTAAAAAGGCGTGAACACGACATACAAGGTCAATAATATCAGCCGAGTCGATCAGAAAGACACGCGCGCGATTCCGCGATGCTCCTAAGGACACCTCCCTCGGCGCCACCTGTACACACCCCATTACCCACCATGGGCACTTTTCCTTTTGATGTCTAATTACAGGCGGCCAGGGTGCATAGGGTCGCCAAGAAAAATCTGAACCCTAATTGCCTTATAGGGTATATGGGGGACCGCCTTTTTGGAAAGGGGCATACAATAGCATTCGGGCCGGTCAACCCAATCCAGTAGTCAATGGGGAGATTGTTTGGGGCCCATATTTTATGATGGCTTTGGTATTGTGGGGGTCGGAAATGAGTGATTGCCAGGGGGCGGTGGCCTTTTTTGGGGTATTTTATGGTATCTCTCTGCCACTCTTTCTCTTTATCGCTTTCTGCGTTTCTTGTGAACGTCTTCAAGCTGGTTTTATTCGCATAAACGATTGGGTTGTTTTCATTCACGCCTGCCCTTCGGGTTCACAGAGTAAAACGCAAAAAGTGGCAAAAAGTTATCCGTTCTCCGGAAAAAATTCGAAAACCTAAAATCCGTAGAAAGATCATGCTCAAAACTGATCTCCAAAAACAGCAAAAAGCGTACGACACTCGGGATTCCCAAGCCGTCTCCGATCCAAGTACTAACCGAGCCCAACCTTGCTTAACTTGGCAGATCGGACGTGATGCCGTGCTTTCAACGTGGTATGGTCGTAGGCGAAGGAGGAGTGATTAACGGCCCTGATGAGAGACACGCTTTCGGATCGAGCCCCAGCTTTCATAGCCCCTCAACACGCCTCTCCGCTCGCCTACGACCATACCACGTTGAAAGCACGGCATCCCGTCCGATCTGCCAAGTTAAGCAACGTTGGGCTCGGTTAGTACTTGGATCGGAGACGGCTTGGGAATCCCGGGTGTCGTAGGCTTTTTTTGCAGTTTTTACTGTTTGCATTACGCTTTACGGTCGGTTTGGTCTTTCCGTAAGTTTTTTCTTGCATAGGAAAGGTATCTTACTTTGCTTTGTTTATATATTACTTTTGTTTGATATACCTAGCAGATATAGAGGCGCTCAGAAAAGCATCCATGCCGTTTCCTTATTGTATGAAAATTAGCAATCCCCAGGGCTCGTTTTTAGCTGGTTTTTGTAGTATCCGTTTCACGCCCTGCCAATCTCGACCTTTTCTAGAGCTATCACCCTCCTCTCCCGATATTGTTTGGGGGTGTGGCCATGGGTGATGGCTTGACCCTGTATGGGTTCTTTTTTGTGGCATTGGTTCTGTGCGTGGTGGAGGTGGGCGTGGCACCCTTTAGCATCCGGCTCTGCTCCCCAGCACCAGTCCATTTCTTCCACCCTCGTCGTCACGGCCCGATCTGGTCAGCGTCTTGGCTGTTTTTTAGTTTCTTGATTCAGCGCTACAATTTCTTACTACAAACCCGGTCCATCTGTGGCTGGGCATTGTCGCGTACTGTACGATACTTTCCTATTGACATCGTAATATAGCGTTAGCATGGTTCAGAAGTACGATACGATCCTAATAAAACTGCAATTGACATTTGGTGTAATGAATTTCAACGATTTTGAGTGGTTTCGACTGTAGTTTGTATCAATTTGTGGTTTCTCCTTGTGCTTTTCCGATTTTTTTTCTCTATTTTGTGCTATTTTTTGACAAGTTTTATGCTAATTTTCAGCGTTCCATAAGCCTCCGTTGAAACGCCATGAAAACCGCACCGCAAAAACAAAGACGAAACGAACGCGAGCGCAATCGCGTGAACCAGGTATTGAATTTTATTACTTTAGTAATTTTTAAGGTGTCTCTTTTACTATAAGTCTAACTATCATATTTTTATACGATTAATAAACTAAAATATACCTTTCATTTAGGTAAATAACGGCTTCAACCAACTCCGCGACCGTGTCCCCACCCTCGCACCCACCCAAAATAAGAAAATGAGCAAGGTACGGGAGTAATCTAATTTTTATAGAACTTTTTACAGTAGTGGCTGTTTGTAATTAGCATGAATTGGCGTTTAAAAGCCCTAAATTTCGCAATTTTTCAGGTAGAAACGTTGCGAGAAGCCGTGAAATACATCCAATACCTCCAATGCTTGCTCCATAACGAGGCGTCGGGCTCGACAAGTTTCGATACAAATTCCTCGAGTTCTCCGTTGTTATACAATGCACAGGTGAGTTGTGGGATACTGTAGATCCTAGAGAGCTTTTCATACATGCTGGAAATATAATTTGGTGGCTTTTAATAGGGTGTAAAATCCTGAAGCTTGAGTTTTCAGATACCTTCCAATTTTTTCAACAGCCAGCCGCCGCAGTGCTACGCGTCTTACAAATCTAATGTGAGTTTTTAGTAGCATCTGTCTCTCTCTCTCTCTCTCTCTCTCTCTCTCTCTCTGTCTCTCACCCTGTCTCGCTCTCTGTCTCTCACTCGCGCTCTCTCTCGCGCTCTCTCACTCGCAAACTCTTTAGCACACACTATCGCTCTCTCTCTCTCTCTGCCTTTCTATCTCTCTCTCTCTCTCTTTCTCTATCGCTTTATTCTTCTGTCGCACTCTTCCGACAACTAATTGAAACAAACATTGCATGACCATATCTCATTTTTTCAGAGCTCACCCGCCTCATCCAGCTACTTTTCCGATAACTCGTTTGACGAGCAGAAATTCTACACCGGCCAGACATAATCAGGGCTATAATCCTCCCATTATCGCCTCCATAGTTGTGCCCCGTATCAGATCTCAAAATCGACACTGATCACGGGGATTTCCGTGTCAATGGTCGTGTCGCGTACTTGCTAATTGTTCCCCGTTTTGTCGTGACCCTGTTCTCTGTAAGCCGCTAATAGCCCGGGGGTATTTTGGCCCCAAGGGCAATGCTAACTGACAAACTGTGTGATTGATCTCATTTTCTATTTTTCTAGCTCTCTCCCTCTCGCTCTCTCGCTCTCGCTCTCTATCGCTATCTCTCTCACTCGCTCTCTTGCTTTCTCGCTTTCTCGCCCTCTCCCCCGTTACCGTATCCATGACAAAACAGCATTTCGTGTATTTTGCGTATTTTTGTTATTTTTACATGATTTGTTTATTTTCTGTTCTCTTCATACGGTCATAATTGTTATCATGTTTTAATATGGCAATTTAGTATGTTTTAGGGGCGAACTCGAGTTAACAATATTTCGAAAAGTTGACCTATGATTTTTTAGTCTTTTTAACCATTTAAATTTTCGACATTTTTGTTAAAAATAGCTCAATCGAATTTTCGAAAAATAGGCCATTTTTAAAAGAAATGGAATGCCGACAAGATTCTGAAGAATCCAGCTAAAAAAACATCGCTGGGCCAGAGTTCCCCTAATTTGCATAAATGTATTTTTCTTTCAAAAAATGCAATTTTTCCGCATTCAAAATGCCATATATTCCATTTTACTTCGTGTATTTTTTGCCTCAATTATTTCGAGTCCATATTCCACGGGTTTTTTTGCTTTTTGTTCTCAATTCTCCAATGTCACCAATAAAATTTGCATACGGATCTATCGGCCTCATCGACCGGACGATAAATGTACATTACACTCCCCGGCTGCATCCAAATTTGGCATTTACAGGCCGTGCCCTGGGCGAAGAAGACATGGCTGGCATCTAGTGCATTATTGATGGGGGTGGACACGGTTCTTCCGTGCCCCAGGGCACATTGAATATTCCGGCTGGGGGGCCCTGTACCCAGCACAGGGGTCAACAAAATATCGTGACGGATGCAAATGCGAAGACACACACACACGCAACCAGCCTTGTTTTGACAGCTTGCTGGTCGGAAATCCTTGAAAAATCGGAATAAACTCAGCAAAAAGGGGTAGGTTATGCAAAGTCGCGTTTTGGCTTAAGTTATTTAAATATTTTTTTAAATGTTTTGTCAATATCCCATTTTTTAATAGTTTTCATCGAGTCCTGGCTTTTCGACCCGACCTTACGTACTTACCGCACGTATTTTTTGATTGCGATATCGCGCTGGCTGAATCTAATTTTTTGAGAGTAGCAATAAATTTAGCATTTGGCTCAAAAAAATGCAAATTTTAATTGGCATTTTCGCAATAATTAATTCGTCTTTGATTTTTGCGATTTTGATGGGCACGGAAATCGCATTCTGCCCAATTCAACAGTCCGTTAAAGGCGCAACGAAGCTCGAAAATCGACCCCTAGGTAAGACTGGGGATCGACAGCTACGGAAAAAGCCAAATGACGTGGGTAAGGGGTTTTTTTCTCGCTCGTAGTACATCTCGACTTTGAAAACTCGTGTTTTGTTGTTCTTGAGCTCTTACTACCCTTTTTGTCGTCTTAAAACAAAAACAACAACCAACAAACAAACAAATTGCAGTTTCTATGTATTTGCCGAGACCTAGCCAACGGCAGGGGTCGATTCTGGGACTTCAACTGTCCTTTAAAAAGCCGTTTTTCTGAGGAACAAACCCAAAATGGCTGGAGTTCTACCCTCCTTACCCCATCGCCCCGTTGATTGACAGGTTGACCCATCCGGAAAAAACACAACTCCCACCTCCCCCTCCGCACGCTCGATTTCCATTTTGTTTTTTGGAAAAACACGGAGTGACTGGCCAGCCCAGCGAACGGCTCGTTTTCTTTGTGCCCCGGGGTGCCATTCACCCAGCGCCAAAAAAAATGCTGCCGCGCATATAATTGCGCGTTTTCCGCGCGCGCACCATAGCGGAGAGAGAGAGAGGGCAGAGAGAGATAGAAGAGAGAGGGCGAGAGAAAGGGAGGGAGAGAGAGGGAGAGACACACTTTTTTTTGGCGCCTCGGGGCGCGCGAAGGGCCGTATTTTCGGGCACGCGCGCAGGCCCCCGTGAAATATTTGATGGGGTACTTGGTGGGGGTGGGTTTTGTTTTGGATGGAAAACGGTCAAAACTGAACCTAGGGCAAATTTTAAAGGAATGGCGTCAGCATTTTCAGGAAGGTTATTGCAAACTCTAGCGAAATTTGGAGCCTTACAGATCATGGAAGACGTGTCTTAGGTTTAGGCTTAGCTTAGGCTTAGGTTAGGCTCCGGATAGGCTTCAGGCTCGGGTTGGCTTAGTTTAAGCTTATCTTAGGCTTAGGCATAGCTTAGGCTTAGGTTTAGGCTTAGACTTAGGCTTAGCTTGGGCCTACCATGGCTAAAACACAATTGGTCCTCAAATTAAGACATGATTACAAGTCGCGACCCTTGAGAAAGGGGCAGATGTGCAACCCGGGGGTAAGCACCGACTCCAAGGAGGGCAGAATGTGATCCTCATCATCTTGAGGTTCGAAGTGGGCCGTTGAAGGGCCAAATTCCTTCATAATCCCTGGGTGTTCGCCCAGCTAGACAGCTCTTAAGAGGAGAGAGAGCGAGAGAGAGAGAGAGAGAGAGAGGGAGAGAGAGAAGAGACCATAAGATGATACTAATCCCGGGGTTGTGGGGACCCGTTGACCCGGTATTTTTGGATGTGTTGGGGGAGGGGGAGAATGTGAATCCCGAGGGGGGTTTGGATTGGATATATTGTACCCTGCCATTCTGTTGATCCCCCCAGGTGACACTGTCCATTATATATTCTTCCCGCGAAGCCCTAGGGCTGCAGACACTCACATTTGCGCACGGGTCAGTGAACCTAAAGAAAAGGGGGATCAGATACAGGCTGTCAGGTTCGGGAATTGGGGCTCCGGGATCCGTTACGGAATGAATAGTGCGAAAGGTCTGAAAAATCGTAGTTTTTAATGCAATTTTAAATGCAGCCCAAAGACTGCGAGCTGTATTCTTAAGACTTGGGCTTCCGGCTTTAATGAGTTTTAAAGTTTCCGGTGCCGAAAAGCCAATTCTTCCAAATGCCAGTTCCCAAATTCAATATTTTTGCGTCCGAATTATTGGTAAAATTTGTAAATGCAAAATTTCACCCCAGCGTCTGATATCCAGGCCAATAAGTCCCCAATTTGCATATTGCTAAAGTAGCGAATTCTTTGGTCTCCCAACGCAAAAGCGGGCCGCCGCATGCACAATTGAATCATGGTTTTCGAAAATCAGAAAGTCTGCCGTTTTTTTATTGGAATGAAACAAAGGCTACGTGTATTTATTTCTGTCTTAAAAACGTTATCGAACGGTCGGCGGAGAGTAATTTACAGCGACGAAAAAGCTAAATCTGTGACTAATACTAGGTACCTAGACTCTAGGGAGTACGGTAGTCGATTTGCAATCTAACAAAAGTAGCGTCTCAACATGACATAGTCACAAAAATACGTGACACTACACACAACTAAAGGTAAAGAAAACAAGGGCCTACAACCATATTCCCATTCCCATGAATTCCCGAACATCACCTATCCATTTCTGGGGGCGTTGCGCAATCGTGACCATTGCAATTCCTCCGCGCGACCAATAACAACGAGATCGCCCTGATTTATTGCCCATTCATTCCGGGAGATCACCCGCGACGACGCCATCCCAAAAAGGCGTAATGTCTGGAGAGTGTAAAAGTTGTGAGACAAAATGGAAATAAGGCAGCTGAAATAAAAAAATATGAATATTTTTATCTGCGACTCTGGTCACAACAATTTTTTCACGACAATTTTTACCGTTCTAGAAATTTTTGAAACGAGTCGGTGCCTACTTGCATTAAGGAGAGGGGCCAATCGGGAGGATACGACACTTGCGCGAGTTTCTTAATTTTCCCAGGGATAAGAAGCCAGAAATCGACAAATTTTCTCCACCAGGTTTCGAAAGCTACGAGAAATTTGAGAAAGTTTCTATTGAGATTCTCTCTCGTTCTCTCACTCTCGCTCTCTCTCTCTCTCTCTCTCTCTCTCTCTCTCTGTCCATCTTTCTACTTGAATTTCGAACTTTCCATCCCTATGATGCCAAAAATAACTTAATTGTTTTCTGGGTTAACGCGCGATAAAATTCACCCATCGTCTCGATTTCATACCCATAATTCAGGCCTTTACTGCCCTCTAAGAGCCGAATCCTGTGACCTTAGGGCCCGGCTATCAAGCCCAATATCCCTCCTTGAGACCCAAGGACTAATCAAGCCTAAATCGGGTGCATTATATTGGCGGCACCGGCCAAAGCATGGGCTAAGGGTCCAGTAGTGGGTCTCGGCTTTTTTTGACAGCCACCCGGATCAGGGCCACCGGTCGATTAGGGCCCAGATTAGGGCCCAATTAGGGGTCGAGAAGCCTACCAGGCTCCTCCACGCTCATTTGACGGCTATTAGACGGAAGGGAAGAAGAGAAGCCGTGGCAGGAATGGATCATCGAGTGTTTTGAGGTCATGGAGGAGAGGTTTAAATGGACCGGCAAGGTAAAGTTACACGATTGAAACATTTTCGACGAGATTTGTGGCAAAAATTAGGTTGGTCTTCAAGGGAATTCCAGCCAAAATCCCGACGGCTAAAATCCCGACACTCAAGATCGTGATGTGCAAAATGCCGACAACCAAAATGCCGACATGCAAAAATTGGCATAGAGTCCTGCAATTTCAATAGAAACCAGGCTAGAACACAGTATTGTTCCAGAATCCGCGGTTTTTCGAAATCCAAAAAATCCTCTGCTAGACTCCAGCACCAACCTTCTCTTTCCCTCTCTGTTTGGTGGATATTTGGGCCTGGAGCATACGGTAGTGGAGGATCAGCTAGAGACCTGGATTACGCAATGGTCCACGATCACCGCA